GACACCAGTGTCAGTAAAATTAAATAAAAAAAATAATAACATCTAATGGTTACATCGATTTAAATGTTAAGCTTTATCGAATCACACCGACAAAATGCAGCCTGATGGCTAATTGGCTAGCGCTCTGGCTGTTGGTACCACAGGCTTCAGGTTTGATTCCTGGTTGTGGTATGGATGTTTGTTGGTAGTTCGGAATCCACGTTAAACTGTAGTTCCCTGTCTAATTAGCTTGAAATGTGCACAAAATGACCGTACAATAACAAACCAAATCCCGACGAAATAATTGAAATAGTCCGTATGGCATTAAAACAGAAATTAAATGCTATGAAAGAGACATGGAAACACATTTGAATTCAGATTACGTGCAGGCCAAATCCATCAAACTACAATTAAATACGGTTTTTAAATTAAAATAACAAATTTATTCAAATATAACTCATATATATACACTCATGTCCATAAATTAAGGATAATGAAGTTCAGGCAAAGAAAGAGACAGAAGCAAAACAAATTTGACTTATTTGTAAAGTCTATTTATTAAACAAAAGGTAAAGAGCAAAAGAGATGCTATATGTTTGACATAATTAATAAAAATTGCGATTTTTACTCCCTGGAGCAAATTTCAAAAAGAACCTATTTACAAAAAACAGTATAACATGGTTAGTATGATGGTTAATATGGAGTATGTCTCCTGGACGATGCAATACAGGCCTTACAACGCCTAGGCATGCTGAGTATCAAATTATCAATCTGATATTGGGGAATATTACACCACTCATCAAGCAATGCCCTCCGAAGTTCGGTTGACAGGTGGGAGGGTTGACGGGCTGCAATTCGTCGGCCAAGCATATCCCACATATGCCCTATTGGATTCAAGTCCGGTGAGTATGCTGATCAATCCATACGGGTGATATCCTACAATTGAAGGCATTCGTCTACAATGTTTGCACGGTGAGGACGGGCGTTGTCATCCGTAAACAGAAATTCAGCACCCATGGCGCCCCGAAACAAACGTACATGTTGTTCCAGAATGACATCCCGATAGATGTGGCCTGTCATCGTTACACTCTGAACATGCAGGTCAGTTCTGGAGCCAAGAATAATTCCTTCCCAAACGAGTCATCCTGCACCACCGTAACGGTGTCGTTCAATGGTGTTCTCTTGGTGGTAACGGGTACCTGGCGCTCCGGCGAGAATCAGACTGCAAACTAAACCTGGACTCGTCGGAAAACATCACACAAGACCACTGTTGCGGTGTCCACAATGCATGCTCTCTACTCCAGGTTAATCGCTGGCGACAGTGAGTTGCGGTAAGTGGAACACATCTGACAGGCCTACGAGCATATAGACCAATGTGCCCTAAGCGTCTGTACACGGTCTGCCTTGAAACTGTCGTACCGGTAGCTGAAGAGAGCTGACGAGACAGGTCTGATGCTGTGCTCCGTCTGTTTCTTTTGGCAGTAACTGCTAAATACCGGTCCTCATTCGGCGTTGTAACTCGGGAGCGACCTGTGCTGTAACATCTACTCACATTACCATCATCTTGGAATCGTTGCCAAAGCCTGGAGATGACACTCTAGGCGATTCCAAGTTCCTCGGATACTTCCAGCTGGGTACGTCCACATTCCAGTCGTCCGATAATTCTACCACGTAAAAAATCATCCAAATGCTTTCTTTGTGCCATAACTATGCGGTTATTGCCCTGAAAGGCTTTTAAAGCGCTTGAACAATTTTACTTCTTTGCCACCATTCCTATATACCCCCTCTTTACACTCTCGTCATTGTGACGTACTATCCGCGCCATCTGGTGGTTTCCTGTAATTTGCATATTCTTCTTCAAGATGTATGTGATAATTCTACAGGTGAAATTTTTATTTTAGAGTTCAATGTCTGTGTGATTCTGAATTATTCTTAATTTATGGACATGAGTGTATATATATATATATATATATATAAAGATTAATACAATGGAAATACTTCAGTATGAAATTTAAATGAATAAATGTCACAAAGTTTGATAGAATCCCGTTAATCTTTTTTAAAATGATCCTTTTTACATAGAATCAAAAGTGATTATTTTATTTTGATTTATGGTAGGGGAATGGCTTTTGCCACAAAGATTTTAACGTTACAACAGAGTTTATCGCTGTAACTAAAGCAAAAAGTTAATTAGTGTTAACTTTCTAGTAAATCATTCTTCTTAATAATAAAAGTCAAACTTTCAATACTCCTTATAGAAAATAGTAATTCATTCATTTTGCATTGAGGGCAACAATACCTACAATATTTTCATTTGTTTTAGCGGTTCGGACAGGATTTTTTTCTTTACTATCTGAAATATTTTTATTATTAATAAATAAGGATTAGAATATCGTAAACATTTTGATATATCGTATTTTTTTTTATTGTATATACTTTATCAAATACGTATAACATTTCTCGAATTTCATACAAATTTCAAATTCTTTTTATTTTATGAAAACAGAAGCCTGCATTAAATTCCATAATCTAAGGTTTGGTTTGTCGTTCTACGGTCATTTTTTGCACAGTTTGGCTAATTAGACAGGACCTACAGTTTAACGTAGATTCGAACCACTAACATCCATACCACAGCCAGGATTTGAACCTGAATCCTGAGGTACCAAAAAAGCCAGTTTGGTTTGGTTTATCGCTCTACGGTCATTTTGTGCACATTTTAGGCAAATTAAACAGTACCAAGGGCTAGAGTCTAGCCAATCCACCATTAAGACGCTCCTAATCTAAGCTACTGCTATATGAATTTGTATAACTTGATTACTAACGTTTGATCATATTAATTTATGTAATACTTTAGATAGTTATATTACTAATTATCAAGAATATTTTTTGTTAATTAAAATAAGAAAAAAAAAATTTTTTTTTTTTTTTAATAAAGAAAAATTTTTAAAAGTATTTCATATTTTTAAAGAAAAATAATTTCTCCTGAAATATTTTGTTTTCACTAAATAAATACTTGTTTTTATTTAACTTTTAAAAATACAGTTAAAAATATAAAATAAAAAAAATTTAGATTTGAGCCAACGATATTTATATCAAGATCTTGCTACACAGATTTGAATAGAATCAATTAAGAATATTTGTAGCAGTTTTTTTTCCGAAAAAATTATTACTTGGTTTTATCATTTTTTGGAATTTTTTTAAAACCATTTTGAACACTTTCTATTATAATAATAATTTCGCTTAAAATTATCTATCATTATCTTCTTCATATTGTTATAAACCATTATTGTGAAATAAAAACTCTTTCTGTAATGGTTACCGTTAAAATCAGTCACTTTATTTGATAGTAAAAGTCAATTAAAATGATTGGTCGAGATAATAAAGGTTTAAGGTTCTAGTTCTCATATTAAAAATTATGAGGATATTGTGATCGTTGAATGCGATATCAGACACATAAAAAAGAAGACATATATGCCTAACTAACAACATCATTAACTAATTGGACTTGTATCATTTTTCGACTAGAATAACTCGTATTTCTTTTATGCTGCATCACTTGTTGTTCGATGAACCTACCTCAAGTGTGAAAGGAACAACAATAAACGGAAGATATTTTTAAAAATTTATATTGAATACAATATATTATATCATAATTAAAGAAAATATCTTGTAAAAAAATTAAGATTTTATAGATTAAATTACGATTTAATTTTAAAAAAGAATTCATATTAATTAAGATTGAATTTTAAGTAAACTAAGATTTTATTTTATTTTATTAAGAACTGTATTGATGCATGCATTTCCTAATATTACCTACCAATAGCATATTGACGATTTTCCTTAGCAAGATAGTGTCCCGCTATACAATTTCAACATTTAATAAATAAATAGTGCGTGTTCTTAACCATGAAACTACGTTCGGCAGCTTAAGGGAACCATGAGCTTGAATGGTTTGGTTTGTCGCTCTACGGTCATTTTGTGCACATTTTAGGCTAATTAGACCGGGACCTACAGTTTAACGTGGATTCCGAACCATCAACAAACATTCATGCCACAGCCAACATTCGAACCTGAAAACCTGTGGAACTAATGGCCAGAGCAATAGCCAATTGGCCATCACGCCGCGACGAGCTTGGATGATGAGAGAAAAAAAAAAAAAGCATTCTCTTTATTTTCAATGATCTCCAACTAAAACTAGCATAAATTAGAGATCAGTAAAATAAAATTAAAGAAATTATAATAAATAAAGAATTACCAAATCATTCTCAATAAATTCTGCAACTATACTCACTAAATATGAAATTAAATTATGAAACTATTTGTTCAAGTAATGGCAGCTAATATTATTCTGTCCAATACAATTTTACTAGGTATGGGATAACTGTTATTATGATAATATGGCAATTATTAATAACAGCACTATGCTATTAGATAGCAGTGACCTGCTGTTTATAGGCTATCATGCGATGTAGTCCGCTAACTATCTGGTAATCTATCAGCAGTAACCATTTAGCAACTAAATGTTAATGTCAAACATTATGCATGATTTTTGAAAATAAAATTAAAATGGTTTTGGTTTTCGCTCTACAGTCATTTTGAGAACATTTTGAGCTAATTAGACCGGGACCTACACTTTTAACGTAAATCAAAATAGAAAAGTCCTTATAACAGAGTGAACATAATGAAAGTTTTATGAATTTTAAATAATATTTTAAAATCGAGATCAATAATTTTGTTGTTGTTTCTTATCCCACTTGGCTGGCCAAGCCCACGAGCCCATACGTACTCATGATTGAAGGGGAAGGAAGCAGCTTCTCTTGTGATGGAGCACCCGTAGGTAGAAGTCTGACTTTGGCTCCGTGACGCTCTTACAGTCATAGGAGACCGGGACCTACGGCTTAAAGTGGATTCGAACCACTACAAACATCCATGGCACCGCCGATATTCGAACCCGAAACCTGTGGCACCGAGCGACAGAGCGCTAGACACTCGGCCATTCAGGTCCCAAAATTGTGAATGCCAACGGCACGCGGTGTTCCCAGGTGGTCACCCACCCAAGTACTGACCGCGCCCAATGATGGCTTGACTTCGGTGATCTAACGAAAACCGAGTATATTCAGCATGGTATGGCCGTTGGCACTTCAATAATTTTGGTCACGCATAAATCAAGATAAATATACCATAATAAACAAAAATATTTAGCTCCAAAACTGTAAAACATTTTTTTTAATTGCATTAATATGATAAACAGATTCGGTATTAAGTCACCCATAAAAAATGTTTTTAAGGAAAATCATGCGAACTTAATCTATTTCAAAATGAAATCAAATAAATGAAATTATAAATCTAAGTAACAAAATTTCGGGTTTTTTTTCCCAGCTATAAGATTACTCGTATTTGCCATTCATTATCACAACAAGTAACAGTATATTTCTGATATATACAACTGATATATTTCTGATACATGAACTGCTAGCAAGCGATTTGGTTGAGATTTATACAATGTGCAGATCATGACTAGGATATTAACTGGCCAAAGTAATAAGACACACCTCCCAATAATTTGCAAGAAATTTCGTGTTTAAAAATTTTAAACGATTTTATGCTGTTAAAGCGTAACGAACACGTGGTGTAATAGATAAAGATGGTTTAGTTTGTCACTCTAAGGTAATTTTTTTGCACACTTTAGGATAGTTAGACCAGAACCTACAGTTCAGTGTGGAATCAAAACCATTAACAAACATCCATATCACCGCCAGCCAAGCGTTACCAAAGACCAACTGGCCATCAGGCAGCAGTAGATAAAGATGAGAGTGGGCAATCCGAATGGAGCCGGTTTTTATTTCCTTCTACCCAGCCTACTTTTGTATATATTTTACGTTACGCCCTTTATAAATACATAAAAATTAGAAGAAAATCCTTAAGTCTTTTCTACCAGGAACATATATATATATATATATATATATATATATATATATATATAATGTTTCTTTTGTTTTACATGAAAAAACCTGCATTTAAAATTAACCCAATTTTCCTTTTTCACATGCAAGAGATTCTAGAGAAAAAGATTGTAGCAGTTGAAATAAAACACTCAATCAGAACAGAAAATTTTACTTGGAATCAGAACAAAGCATTCTATATGAAAAGAAAATTTTATTCGAACACTATATTCCTATTAATAAAAATATATTAATAATTACATTTCGTAGATACATTCATTACATTCTAATAATTTTATTACAGAATATCCTAACTAAAATAAAAAAAAAAAAATTAGAAGTCTGTTTTGAATTATTTATTTACGACGAATTCAGAACTGGTCAACTAAAGTTACAATAAGAGAGGAAGTAGAATGAGTTAAAAAGCATTCAAATATCAAATGATAAATTTGTTGAGCTTGTACCTTTAAGGAAAAAAAGAAGTATCATAAATGTGTAAACAAATTCCATTTTCTAGTAGATGTACTCAAAAATCTCTATTAATGCAAATACTTAATATTTATAAGATCTTCTAAATGCCTTGAAGCATATTGATTCTCCTGTTTTCACAAAGAATATCCAACCAGGCTTTTCTAATACTTTTTCTGCTTATAATACTTATATGTGGATTTGGAATTTAATGAAATTGCAAATTCTTTGGCGAAGAACGCCAGAAGTCTGGATCAGACTGCCTAGCAGACGCAAATGCCTTGGCAAAATTTAAACTTATAATTCCTTCTAAGATTAAAACTGAATACCGACAGAACTAATGACGACAGAAAACAGCTACTACTCTCACAAAAATTAAGGATGAAGCACCAAGAAAATATGAAAATTTCTGCTGATGGCGTTAAAAAACACCAAAAATGTGGCAACTGCCATGATGTCGAGCTTACTCATCATGTCTTTGATTGCCCAGCTGTTGCAGCCGCCATACATTGTCTGGACCATCCTTCGGAAGAAGATTTATACTCCGAGCTAGCAAAAACAACAAAGCCAATATTATTCGGGAGCACCACGATATTTGATTCTTTTTTGTACTCTTCAGGGGGATACAACAACAACAACAATAACAATAATAATAAACAGATATTAAACACTAACTAGGTACACTAACATTTATCACACAAAAATAATTAATGTATTGAAAATAAATTATACTTTTTTTTTTTTTTGCAAATGTAATTTCCTTTTTTCCCACGTATTCATTAGATACACAATTTTTGATGACAATACAAATGCAATATTTTAAGAGAAAGCACGCTTCTTTACACAATAGGTAAAAAATACATAGAAAAATTATTATAAATTTCGTAGTATTATTTTTAGTAAATTCAACGTAAAAATTAAACTGAAAAATAAAAATAAATAAAAAGCCTAGGATGGTACATAACTAGCGTTTTAACTACAAGGCCACGATATAACGTATCAGTAGACAGCTTAACACTATAAAAGCATTTCAAATTTTCAAATTCGGAATTTCTTGCTAATTATTAGCAGGCACGTCTTGCTACTTTGGTTAATTAACATCCTAGTTGTGATCTACACGTAACATAAATTTCAGACAAATTAGTAACGTACAGTTCATGAACCTTACCAGACAGACAGGAAAAAAAAAAAAAAGGATGTTTATAAAAATATGTTACTATGTTACAAAGTCCATAAAATAGGACTCGATCCTCCTTAATCTTATCCAGATGTTTCTTACGAAAATATCCCACATCATCGCTTTTAGCCAATGCACATTAATGCCTTAATAATTTTTTCATCTAATGTTCCGAACCACTTTCCAGTTAGTAACTGAAAAGATTGCTGAAATCTAAGTATAGCAAGTTATTTGAAAATAATCAATTTTCTATTTTAGTTATCTACCAATAAAATTAGAAATTTCATTTTTTTTAAATATTTTTTATGGTTTAAAATTTATACAACGGTTATTTAAATTGCAACAATTTGAAATAGAGTTCGGTTTTACCAATTTTTGGCAATAGAACAGATCTTCAATATAATACTCTCATTTCATTTAAAGCTTAAAAATTTAATATTACGCAAAATACAATGTGTCACAAATTTCAGAAAATAATTTTATGAAAAAAGAAATCTCCACCAATAAATCACGATCATTAAAATATCTGCTTGAATAGTATTTGTATTTTAATTTAAACATAAGAAAATGAAGCAAAAATAACATTCACTAAAATGTGTAAGGAAAAAAAAAAAAAAAAAGACAGTGTCTAATTTGTTTGAAAATTGCACTGTTGTAACACATGCACAGTAAAAAACACACGAATATTTTAAAGAAAGATTACAAAATGCAAATAAATTAATAGAATTTTAAAATTTAAAAGTTTAATTGCAGAAATTCAACTTTGCCACTACCTTTCGTCAACTATAATTTAGAATTAAAATTTACTGACATCGTTCATAAGTTTCATTTCGAACGTTTTAACCCACTGTCCAGTAATAAATGAACAGAATAAAAGTAAACACGGTATTAGATAAGTAACGGTCGATTGAATTGTATCACACTTTAACACATTGAATGCTGAGACTCTTATCTAATCAATACAAGATAATTCGTTTCGACATTCAAAGCATATCGAACGCAACGTCTGAACGGAAAAGCATTTCTACTTTCACCTATTTAAACGACCCCAACGACGGCAAAGAAATCAATGCTTTTAGGGGAAAGTCAAGAAAACAATCCGTCTCATTAACGGCCGACGGCACTTGGCGACGAAGTGGGCTTGGCGAGGGATGGGGCAACCCTTCGGCCTCGTGCTTCCGCGGCTTCCGGTGAGTCGCCAGTGATGGGGCAACCGTCTAATGAAGCCGCCGGCCTCTTATCACTGGCCTATCGCAGCTACCGGCGGGAACCCCAAAAACAACCAGAAAGGGAGCCACACAATAGACGGGGATAATATTAAAGATTGATTAGCCTATTAGAATGTAGGATTGGGATAATACATGAAGGAATATTTAGGAAGGGTAATTCGTTTTAGTGTCTTATTTCACCTACTCATTCTGGAAATCACTCAGAAGAAAATTGGGTCTATTTATTGGAGATTTACTAAATTTTAGTTTAAAAAAAAAAACCGGATCAATATTAAATTCATTTTTTTAATGTACCCGCAATATTAATTTATAAAAAAATAGTCCCTCATAAAATTCTAATTTGCATGAAAATAGTTCCTCACAAAATTCTAATTTACAAGAAAATAGTCTCTCGCAAAAATTCTAACAGAAAATAATCAGGAAAAAATTAGTCCCTCACAAAATTCTAATTTACAAGAAAATTAGTCCCTCACAAAATTCTAATTTACAAGAAAATAGTCCCTCACAAAATTCTAATTTATATGAAAATAGTCCCTCAAAAATTCTAATTGACAGGAAAATAATCCCTCACAAAATTTTAATTGACAGGAAAATAGTCTGTCATAAAATTCTAATTTACATGAAAATATTCCTCACAAAGTTCTAATTTATAAAACAGGGCTTCACAAAATTCTAATTTATAAATCAGGCACCTCACAAAATTCTAATTTATAACACATGCTCTCACAAAATTCAAATTTATAAAACAGGGCCTCACAAAATTGTTTTAAAGTACGAGCTCTAACAAAAAGTCTGGTAAACCCAAAATAAGAATTCATTTGTCAAATGCTACGCGAAAACATGAAAGATATTCGATAAAATGACCATCAAAATACGGTTTTCTAAAGATTTATTTAAAGATTTCATATATGTCTTTAATCTATATGCTGTTATGAATTTAAGCTCTAAGACTTTTCACAAAATTTACTGGCAAATTCATAAACATGTTTAGAACGATTCACCGATTTTTAAGATAAAGATATGAGGCTTAAATTTCAAAAATTTATTATCATTATATAGCATATAAATGGATTGTTAACACTTAAAAAAAATGTAAACATTCATTATGGTGTTAAAAAGGATTTTTTTTTTAATTTAACCAGCTCAGTATTTCATGGGCGTAGAACTTCTCTACTGACTGTTGTTAACTTGCACCATAAATAGAATGATATTCTCACAGATGAATGGACAGAATATCCCCGACAGTAAATAGTTAGTTTTAAAAAGGAAATTTCATTATTTAACATAGTTTGCAGATTTTAAATCCTAGATGATTTAAA